GACAGGGCCCACAAGATGAGGGAAGAGACAACTGTGAACTTGCCTGATCTGAAGTCCAAGGAGATAGAGAAGCAGAAGAAATGGGTCTTGACCCAGGAGGTAGCTGTTGAGGGCCTCCACACAGAGAACAACAGGGCCTTCTCTGTGGAGGGGCTCACCCTGGCCAAGATGATGATCATGGCCAAATCCAAACAGCAGCACCTGAAGCCAGATACCATATCTCTGCCCTCCTGGTTCTCCATGACTTCCAGGGGGTCTGCCATGTCTGTGCTGGCCGATTTGCCCTTTAATGCCAACCAGATGGCCTTACCAGAAGATACACAGGTAGTGGTCAGGTCTCCTACTAAGGTGAAAGAGAACATACAGCTCCAGGTGGAGGAGAAGCCACCTGAGGATTCGCTGAGGACTTCCAAGGAACCCATAATTGAGTTGCCAATGACTGACAGCCCAAAGGTGGGTAAAACTTTTCAGTTTCCCACCACCATGACCACCTCAGGTTTGGAGAACACTTCCTGGCCAATGACACCCCTGACATCCCTGACGTCTCCCATCACCGAGACAGACTCCTCAGTCAGGGTGCCCCAAAAGCCTGGAGTGAAACATCAAGGGCTCAAGCAGGCACAAACACAGCAGCAGCCTCTGGCTGTCGTGGGACCAACCTCAGAAGTTCTCTTGCCCATTGTCTTGGAAATGGAGAATAAGAGAAAAATGTCCACGAAAGAGGAGATTCTGATGAAGGAATTTGGCACCCCTCATGCTCAGGTATTTGACATTAGCAGCTGGCATCCACTATCAACTCTAATATACATATGCATACAGAGAGGGAGAGAGAGAGAGGTGGGGGGAGGAGAGCAGGTTCTCAAGATTGAATTCAGTCCATTGTGTATGCTAAGTGCAAACTCTACCATTGAGCCAACCCACGACTGCCATCACTAGACAGGAAGTAGATATGAAGTGTTGACTGTGGTGGGCATTGCCCTAAGCAGTGGGGATACAGAGCCCAATGATAAGGGTGGCAGAAGCAGATTATACCACTTGGCACCTAGTGGTTAAGGGATAAGGCATGTTGCTAAATATTTGCAATGCAGAGGACAGATCCTACCACAGCACAATGGCCTAAGGTGGCTCAGCCTTAGGGCTGGAGTCATTTGTGTAAAGACATGAAAGAGGAGGCTGGAGGTGTAGCTCAGAGGGCAGGGTACTTCCAGAGCATGTACAGAGCCCTGAGTTGGAACCACCCGACCCTGAAGGAAACAAGGTGTAGTGGCCCAACACGCCTGTACTCCTGGCCATCAGGAGGTGAAGGCAAATGGAGTGGGAGTCCAAGACCAGCCTTGGATATACATAGTGAGTTGGAAACCAGTCTGGACTACGTGAGACCTAGTCTCCAGACAAAACAAAAAGACCTGTGGGGAAAATGGAAGCAGCGAGAGCATCTAAGGGGAGGAGAGTTCACGTAGAGCAGTGGTTCTCAACCTTCCCAATACTGACCTTTAACAACATGAGTTCCTCATGTTGTGGTGACCCCCAACTAACAAATTCTTCCATTGCTACTTCATAACTGCAATTTTGCTACTGCTAAGAATCGTAATGTAAATATCCCATATGCAGGCTATCTGATATGAGACCCCAAAGGGGTCACGACCCTCATGTTGAGAACCACCAGGTAGAAGGAGCAAAGTCCTTGAGGCAGAAGCATGTGTGCTCACCGCTCCTTTATTGAGTGTACCCTACACAGAGTCCTAACATAGGAAATGCTGTCACGTGAGCCACTGGGTGTTGGGGGGCATGCCTGAAAGCCTACAGGACCTGAGACAAGTTTATGGATGTTGGCTTTGACTATGAGCAAGCTGGAGGTTTGGGGTCAGAATAATTGGAACTGATTAATGTGGAAAGGGCTACCTGCTGGGCTCCAGAATGGAATGTAGAGGCGATGAATGGGGAGAGTGTTTATGCCAGAGGCCACCCAGGAGGTGATGATGACTAGGACAAGAGAGTATTGAGAAGCCTAGGAGTCCACAGAGGCTGTCAAGGCTAAGGTGACATGTGATACTTAAGGAGCCTGCATCACTTTTCTCCATACTATGAAAAAATACCAGACAAAATGAAGGAGTAGTTTATTCTGGTGCACAGGTTGAGTTGAGGGTCCAGCTCCAATCATGGTGGGAAGTTACTTCTCTCTCTCTCTCTCTCTCTCTCTCTCTCTCTCTCTCTCTCTCTCTCTGTGTGTGTGTGTGTGTGTGTGTGTGCTTGCTTGTGCATGCAAATGTATAAGACAGTCAATGTCGGGTGTCTTCCTTTGTGACTTTCCCTTTTCTTTTTTTTTTTAATACAATTTTTTATTGAAAAAAAAAATTTCCGCCTCCTCCCCGCCTCCCACCTTTTCTTTTTTTGAGACAGTTTCTCACTGAATTTAGAGCTTGTCATTTGGACATCCAACTGTGTCTACCCATGCTTTCTGGGTTACAGGGGTGTGCTTTCTGTAGGTCCTAGGGTCCCAGAGTCAGGCCCTCATGCTCTTACAACAGGCGGTTGCAGAATGGTGTCATCTACCCTGAGAGTGGGTCTTCCTCCTTCCACCAGACCCTCACAGATGTACCCAGAAGTTTGTCTCCTGGGTGATCCTCGATTGCATCAGGTTGACAATATTAACCATTCCCGATGTTGAGGATGGTTGGGATGTTTGTAGCTTCGGAGAGCTGCAGAATGCAAAAGCCACAGGCAGCAGTGGGGGCAAGACAGCAAATGGAGGAGCCAGGGAGGTGATTCTGAGGTGACGGGGGGGGGGGGGGGGAGATGTGAAACAAACAGGTAATGGGGTGTGGGAGTCTAGAATTCAGGGGAAGTGACTTGGGGGAAGTTATCAGCCTGTGAGGATTGTGAGATGGGAGGTCACCAGCAGAGACAAAGCGAGTAGGGGATATAACGCATGGGGTAGACTGCTTGCTTGCCTAGTATTCAGGCAGGAGGCCCCTGGATTTGACCCTGGCGTCAAATAAAACTGGGTATGGTAGTCCAGACCTAGCACTTGGGAGGCAGAGGCATAGGAGGAGGAGCCCAGGTTTTCCTTTGGCTCTGTATCAATATCCAGACCAGCCTGTACTATGAAGTGACCCTGTCTCAAACAAAGAAAATAGGAGCCATTGTGATGGCTCAGTGTGGGTAAGAGGGCTTGTCACCAAGCCTGACACAGCCACCCACGTTCCATCCTTGGGACCCATAGGATGGAAGGTGAGAACGAACTTCCACAAACTGTCCTCTGATCTATGTAAGCAAGCCCCCATGACATGTCACCCCCTCCCCTTTAATCACAGCACTCAGAAAGCAGAAGCAGGTGGATCTCTGTAAGTTAGAGACCATCCTGATCTACAGAACCAGTTGCAAGCCAGCCAATTTCTAGGCCATGGTGAGACCTTGTCTCAAGAAGAAAAGTAAAAATAAAAATAATCATATACCAAGTGAAAGAAACACCCCAAAAGCCAACCAAATAAGATTATATTTCTTACCCATGGAGACAGAAAGATAGTGGTTTCAAAGTACTTAGAAAGCCGGGCGGTGGTGGCGCACACCTTCAATTCCAGCACTCAGGAGGCAGAGGCAGGCGGATCTCTGTGAGTTTGAGGCCAGCCTGGTCTACAGAGCTAGTTCCAGGACAGGTCCCAAAGCTACAGAGAAACCCTGTCTCAAAAAAAAAATGCTTAGAAGCCAGGCAGTGGTGGTGTAAGCCTTTAATCCTAGTACTCAGGAGGCAGAGGCAGGAGGATCTCTGTGAGTTCAAGATCAGTCTGGTCTACAGAGTGAGTTCCAGGACAGCTAGGGCCACACAGAGAAACTTTGTCTGAAACCAAAAATAAATAAATAATTAATTTAAAAAAGTGCTTAGAGAGGTAGGAATGGGGAATGACTTCTAATGTGCTGGGAGTGGGGTGAAGGGTGATGAAAATATTTTGGAACTAGAAAGGAGTGATAAATATATTGACCAACTTTTAAGGTGTAAATAACAGCTGTGAAATATATATGTTTTTTGAGAGAGCGTTTCTTTGTGTAGCTTTGGAGCCTGTCCTGGAACTCCTTATGTAGACCAAGCTGGCCTCCAACTCAGAGATCTGCCTGACTCTGCCGTGTGTGTGTGTGTGTGTGTGTGTGTGTGTGTGTGTGTGTGTGTGTGTGTGTAAAACTTCTATACTCTTGGGAACCTCTCTCTTTGCCAGTCCCCTAAAACATTCTCTGCCTTTCTCTCCCCACAGTAAGCAGCGACCCAAGGATTTAAGATAACATAATTCAGGAGACTCTATCAACAAATTGTCCAGAAGCCCAGTGGGACCAGGTATCCCTGAGACCCGGAAGATCTGGACCTGGAGGAGTGGGTCTCAGGAACCAGGAATCATCTTCCCTTTCCTCCTTCCCTCACAGGCCCGCAGGGTGCTGTGCACCCCGACTGTAAGACACAGACGACTGAGAACACCGTGTGTGGTGGTGGGGAAGCCTCCCCCTCCAGTAGAGACCAGAGCTAGATAGACGTTTATATACCGGGGAGGGTGGGACAGGACAGATGTCAGGGAGAAGCTCAGCTTTGCAGAGATTAAAAGTCTTAGTCTGAGACTCAAAAGCCCAGCCTTGGTGCCTGTTAAGTGTGCGCGCTCGGGTGCACGGGTCCAACCAAGGGGGCATCAGGCAAGAAGTAGGGGGCGGGGCCTCCACTAACCCCACCGCCACATTACAGAGGGATCCAATTGGCTGGGACTCCCTGGGGGCCAGCCAATCCGACCTGAGGGTCGTGTTGCTCCTGTGCTCTTGGGACCAGCCCTCACTCTCGAGCTAAAGGCACCGGTGGACCCCCGCAGCCCTGGTATTCCAGCTACGTTTAGTTTGTCCACCTCAGTGTGGTGAGGCCAAGGTGGGTGGGGTTTAGAGTGGGTCAGGATCTGGGAAAGGTCGGAGCGAGGGGCGCCCCTTAGGACCCACGGAGCCCTTTCTGCAGGAGCTGACCCTTCCGTTGGATGTTGGATGTTGAAGCCCAGATGCCCCCTTCGGGCGAATGGAAAACGCCCCCCTTCGAACCGCGCTTCCCTAACCAGAACCAGACGCGTAACTGCTACCAGAATTTTCTGGGTGAGACCGGTTGGGCCCTATTAGAGGGGAGGCCCCCACCTGGAGACCGTTGAAATGGGAGGCTGGATCGTGGCCTGAAGGGGCGGGGCCTGCACCGAAGTGGGTGGGGCTGAGCCGTGAAGGGGCGGGTCCTGGAGTGGAAGAGATCGCCTGTCTGGAGACCATAAGATTGCCACCCAGAGTGAAATGAATTGAGCCAGGAGAGAAGGAACCTTGTCAGTAAAGGGCAAAACCAGGAATGAGGAGGTTAGGTCGAGAGAAAAGGAGCGGGGTCTGAGGTCAAGGGAGGCACCTGATGTGGAGCTGGCTGGAACTGGGTCTTGGAGGGGCAAGGTGACGCAGACAACCAAAAGGGATTGGTTGGAAGAGTAAGAGAGTAAGGCTGAGTCCTAGGGTGGGTAGGACGCAGCCAATGTCTAGAGGGGCGTGGCTTGTCTCATGACACTCCCACTCCCACTCCCACCCCGAGGCACTCTGCAGACTATCACCGGTGCGTGAAGACCATGAACCGCCGCGGGAAAAACACACAGCCCTGCGAGTACTATTTCCGCGTGTTCCATTCACTGTGTCCCGTCAGCTGGGTGAGAGGGCGGAGCGAGGCTGGTGGAGAGGGTAGTGAGCTCAGACTCAGGCTGAGCAGATGCTGGGGGGGCCTCTGCTTCTCCAGGTGCAGCGCTGGAATGAGCAGATCAAGCAGGGGACTTTCCCGGGCAAAATCTGACTGTGCACTTGAGCGCTGCTCCCCTTGAGGCATCATCCCCCAGTAACCACTGTCCTCTCACCAAGCCCCAGCCTGGGTTACTCATCTCCTCTCTGTCTCTACGCAACAAATAAAGTCATGATGCTGCTATTGTTTGCTTGTTTTCTTTCTTTCCGGTTTTGTTTTTGAGACAGAGCCTCTCTCACTAACCCTGGAACTCACTGATGTGCTCGACTAGCTGGGATTCTCGTCTCTGACTCCCCAGCACTGGGATTACAGTCATGGGCGCTGAACTAGGCTTATTATGTGCACGTTGGGGATCCAGACTCAGGTCGTCATACACACATGGCAAGTGCTTACTCGCTAAGCCCCCTAACACCTTTTGATCATGGGGGCAAGGAGGAGGATTGCTGCTACAGAGTTAAGGCAGTCAAAAGCAGGTAGATAGAAACAAGCTTAGAGGCTCTTGGGTCCTGCCTGTGGTCATGAAGTCAAGATCTCAACATTTAAGGTAGCCCATGCCTTTAGTCCAGCACTTCAGAGGCAGGAGCACGTGAATCTCTGAATTTGAAGCTAGCCTGGTCTACATAGTGAGTTCAAGGCCAACCAAGGCTATAATACACAATGAAACCCTGACACCCCCCCCCCAAAGTCACAACTATAACAAAGTCTCTTCCACCTACAGGGTGTCCTGTCTGTCAATAGCCATACCTTCCTGCTACTCGTCTTCAAATGTCCACATCTCAACCTCCTCTTCTCCTGCCTGGGCCATCTTAAAGAAAAAGTATATGAATAAAATACATGTATGTACACACACCCCTTAAGTGCTAGAAGTGGGCCTCCGATCTTCTGGAACTTAGAGCAGCCAATGTTCTTAACCACTGTGCCATCCCCAGCACAGTGGTTTGATTTCTAGTGCAGGTCTACCCCTGTGCTCATATGGGGCCATCTACCCCTTTACAGGTGACTCTCCAGTTCTCCCACCCATCTCTTCAGCACACAGCACTTTCATCTTAATCATTCTTTGATCCGCCCATCTTTTCCAGTCATCAACAAAATCACTTTGGTTCCAGTTCCAGTTGCTCCTTGGCCTATCTTCCAAACATAAGGAGTGACACCCTCTTCCTTTCTGTGGACAGGTTTATGTAGCCCTGGCTAGCCTTGAACCCATGGAGAGCCATCTACCCATCTGCCTCCTGTGCACTGGGGTTAAAAAGGGCACCACCACCCTGCCCGGCTGACTCCCAGGCCCCTTTTTATTTGAGTAGGTGGGTGGGTGCTGGTGAGAGGTGGCCGGAAGATGGCATCAGACGTCCTCGAGCGGTAGTTCCTAGATGGAAATTATAAGCAGCCTGATGTCAAGCCCTCTGGAAAAGCACCAGCCTTCTCTCCATCCTGAAGTCACTATTTGCTTCTTTATTATAGTGTTAAGTCTTCCGTAGCCAGGATAGCCTTGAACTCTTAATCCTCATGTCTCCACTTCCACAGCCACCAAGCCTAGCACCAGTAATCTTTAACAGAGCCAGAGGCCTCCAGGCCGGCTGTGCTGGCACCAGCCCACAGCTACCAGCCTCCTGGCTAGACCTGAAGTAATCGTCAAGCTCTGTCTTAGAAGGCCTCATGTGACATTTACCTCCTTGTCACCTTCCTGAATGACCAACCCCAATTTCCCTAGTTGTAAACCAGACAGCTCAGAGTCCCGTTATCAGAGGCAGGATGGGGGTTCTGGCTCGGTGGACTGGCTGGTCCCACCCTTGGATGACCTGTCTATCACCTGCCCCAGAGGCTGCTCACCACTCAACCAAGGACACACCCCAGATGGCCCAGGCTGATTACATCTAGACCTTAGCCTCAGTGTCTGACCACAACCAGAGGCGGACAAGGAAGTACAGGGTGAGGACAAGGTTACAGGAAGATTCTGGTCACTCACCATCCCCACAGGCAACACTGCTGATAACCAGAGGACTTAATGATGTCACCCAGTTAAGTGGCTGGAGCACAGGACCATTAGCTGTGCAGCCACCTTTGTCCTGCCCAGAGACCTGGGTCTGAGTCTGTTTTCTCCCAATGTCCAGCTTTCCTCCACCTCTTCTCCTTTTCAGGTCCATAATACTCCCTGCCATGGTCACTTGACTATTTCCTGTCTCTTTCCAACATTTTGAAAACTAAAACTCATGGGGCTGGAGAGATGGCTCAGCAGATAAGAGCACTGGTGGTTCTTCCAGAGGACCTGGGTTCAATTCCCATCATAGCAGCTCACAACTGTCAGTGACTCTACCTTCAGGGGCTCCGACACCCTCACACAGAGATACATGCAGACAAAATACCAATGCACATAAAGTAAAAGCAAATACATTATACAAAAACAAAAAAACTGAAACTCACTCTGTAGACCAGCTGGTCTCGAATTCACAAAGATCCTCCTGCCTCTGCTTCCCGAGTGCTGAGATTAAAGGTGTGCGCCACCTTAAGGTGTCCAGAGCACACCTTTCCTCTAGCTCTCTCTACACCTACATCCACCCCCATCCACTGGGGTAAATTCCCAAGATCCCAGGGCTAAACTCAGCTCTTTGTCTCACTCTGTAGTTCCTTCCTGGGACTGGGGGAAGAGGTCAGGACATCTCTGCTCTCAGGCTTTGTTCTACAGCTCCTCAGGAGCCCCTCCATTTCCAGACACTCGCTCTCCCGACCAGATCCTATGGCTTCTGGGGTCATCTGATCAACCTCCAAGGTTCAAGGGGAGAAGCAGGGATAGTTCCACAGAGGCAGCACCAGTTTCCACACTGGCTCTCTATTTCTTTGTTATTTCTTTTCTGGTACAGAGGATTAAATTTGGTATTTACCAAGCAAGCCCTCTACCACTGAGCTACACCCTGAAGCTCTGCTTCTTTTTTAACTTCTGGAGTACAACAGGGAATTTGAGGCCAACTGGGCTACATGAGACTTCCTGGGTTTCTGGGCCCGAGCTATATAATCTTCCCAGAACCAGATTTTGCACAGGCTCACCAACTCCCTGCCCTCAAAGATTTTTTCTTTAAACAGAGTCTACAAGGCCTTGACTGGCCTGGTACTCCCTGTGTAGACCAGCTTAGCCTTGAACTCACAAACATCAACCTGCCTCTGCATCTTGAGTGCTGGGATTAAAGGGATGCCACCACACTAGGCCCTACACTAGAGGTAAGGGCACCTGACTGAGAAGTGAAAGGACAAGTCTTCACATGGCCTCAGGCAAGTCACTCTGCTTCCTTGTCATCAGCCTCACTTTACCACAACAAAGAACACTCTCGGTCATCTCCTCTAAGCACGTTATTATATTATTTTTTTTTGTGGTCCCAGGGCTTTACCTTAGTATCGCAGTCCCCAGAACCCACTGCCCCTCCCTTCTTAAGGCTTGTCAGGGTAGCTATCAGTGTCAAAGAATGCCACCTCATCTCCCCAGTGAGGCTGAGATCTCACCCTCCCCCTTGACATCTCCCTAAAACACAAAAACTCCTAAGGGCTTAGAAGGTTTTAATAAAAAGTTCAAGTTCTTCCAATCCCCCATCATACCCCATTCTGGTGTGGGGAAGAGAGGGAGCCTCCCCTACACCCCAGTAGCACCAGGGATAGCACCATGATAAAGATGAGGTCACACCTGGCCTCCCTGAGACCCATGGGGCAGGGCCAAGGATGTGCCCCTGGGTACCACCCACCCCATCTGACTGCCCCTGCCTCCAACAACTGCAGAACTGAGAGCCAACCTACTCCCTACTGTGGGGGCAGTTTGGGAGGGCAAACCCCCAAGTCAGTTGCACCTCCTGAGGCCTGAGCTTCTAGAGAGTCGCCATGGAGTGGCCCCCACCCCTTATGGCTTTGCTCCCCGGGGAGGAAGAGGCTGAGGGGAGGGGGATGGCTCCTGAAGTCCTGCGGTGGGGACAGGGATGGGGAGGGGGACATCAAATGGCCAGGGCTCCCTTGCTTGAGTGGGGTTGGCTCAGGGGTCAGCAATCATAGAGCAATGAGGATCAACTCCCTAGGTATATCCTAAAAAACACACTCCCAGGATCAGACCTGGGTCAAGGGTCATCTCCTTCCTTCCCTTCTGGAGCGGTCCAAGACAGAGACTATACTCCAGTCTGGGCTCCCTGCAGGCAGTCCATCATGGCTCACCACTGTTGATGTCCAGATCAATGGAACCATGACTGACCACCAGCCGGAGGCGCTTAGGTGGGCAGAAAGGAGCAAAGGCAAGGGCCTGTTTAGGGACGAGGTCAGGGGTGGGGACAGGGGCTGGGCTCCCAGTAGGAGCAGGAGCAGCTGGTAGGGCTGGGGGTAGGCGGGTAAGGTCCACACGCACCACAGAAGGCAGCCCATAGCGCCGGGCCCAGTACCAGTCCTGTTGTGGGGTCCAGCGGGTCTTGGGGAGCCGGTGCAGGGCCACTGTGGCCTCACCCCGTAGTTGACAGTGGGGACCACAGCCTCCCCATCGGTGTAGGGAAACATAGGCAGCATGGAGGGCAGGGGACAATGAGGTCGGGCGGATCCTGGGACGGCGACGCTTCCGGGGGCGAACTCTGGGCTGGGGCTGAGGCATCCACTGGAGCCAGAGGGGCAAGTAGTCCAAGTGGGGGCTAGCAGGCAGTAGGCATGGGGGCTGGCAGGCAGCTGTGGTGGTCAGGGAAGAGAAAAATAAAGGGGAAGCAGGTGAGCAGGGCCTGAGCAGTTCAGAAAAGCAGTGACCAAAAGGCTAGAGAACAGGGGAGTGCTCACCACAGAATGGGTCACGGCGCAGTGGGGACAGGTGGGAGCAGGCCCGCAGGCCCAGAAGGCTCTGCTGGCTGTTGTCCAGGCCCTGCTGCAGACGCCGCTTTGTCTCTCGGAGTTGATACTTGTCCAGGGGTTGTGACCGCAGCTCCAGTTCCCTGGGCTGAAGTCTGAAAGCTCCCTCACCTTTCCTGTGGGAACAGAAAAGGGCAAAGGGAGATGCTGGGTTGGAATCTTCATTTTCAAGTGAATCCTGAGGATGTTTCCCAGTCCCAGGACCCTCGACCTCCCACGGTAGGCTGGCACACTCCACCACGCTCAGGCACGCCTACCTCTCACAGGTGTAGCATTCACAGTGCTCATTCTTCTCACCGAAGAAGCCCTCACCATAGAAGCATGTCACTTCGTCCCCTGGCTCAATGTCCCGGAGCACCTTCACACAGGCAGTATTCCCATCTGAGGGCACAAACTGAGGCCATACCCACTCAGTACCCTGGCCTGGGTCACAGGGCAGGAGCTGTCCAACTTTTCAACCTGGCAGGCACCCTGGTCTAAGGGTTCTGTAATGGCTTAGGCAGGCCACAGCTGAGAAACTCCTGCCCCACCACATGATTTACTGACAGCAGCCCTGGCTAGAGCCTGTCCTCTGCATGGCCCCTTAAGAGTTTGCCTTCTGGACCCTAAGAGATACACACATGGATCTACAGAGAAAGGAGAAAAAGACAAGATCTCCTGAGTAAATTGGGAACATGGAGGTCATGGAAGAGGGTAGAAAGGGAGGGAAGCAGAGAAAAATGTATAGCTCAATAAAAACAACAACAAAAAGTCTGCCTTGTGTCTACCTTTCCCTGCAAGCCAATGGCCTCCCAGCAGTATGCAGTGCCAGCAGGGACCACGCCTCGTGTTCTTCCCCCGCACTTGGGGTCAGCGCCAACCTCCACACCTCAGACCTAGCCCATCGCACAGCCCCTCAAGATTCACTTACTCCCTTGCCACTCTCTCTCTGTGGCCACCTCCCTTCTCCCAAGGCTTCTATCCACTCTGTAGCCCAATTCCCATGTCTTCCAGCTCTGCCTCTGGGATCACTCACCCCAAGGTTACCTACCCTACAGGCTCCTCATTCTTGTCTCCCTCCCATATCTGCATCTGTCTCTGTACTCCCTATCTGCGAGCAGACATGGTCATCCTAGCTATCTAGCCAGCCAGCCACTTAAACCTGACACCCAAAGACGCCTCCTTGGCTCATGGCCTCCAGGCCAAATGGCCAGTGCCTTCTGGGTGTGCCACCTCCAGTACCCTTGTCCTCCTCTCCTTTCAGCTGGTCCTTCGTCACCTCAAGGCCCATCACCTGCCAATCTCCTCACGGCCATCCTCACTCTGTACACCTCTTTCCTTCCCACTAAGCATCCTGCAAACTGCTGCCATAGCCATCTAGAAACCAATCCCCCACTATGCAGCTAGGAGAGTCAACTAAGCTCACTGGTCTGGCTGTTACCATCTTTGGGCACTGGCTGTCACCATCTGTGCCTCATGGCCCCTTCCATATGATGTGAAATATCTTGCCCACTTGTGCCCCTAGTTTCTTTCAACACTTAGAAAAACTCTGGTCCTCCAAAGCCTGCTGGTTCCGGATCACTAAGCAAGCTGTTGATAGTGTGTATGCTGCCCTTTGCTTTCTGGCCTGGTGAAGGCTGTGTGTCATTACCCCGAGAGCCTCTGGAACACAGAACAGCTGTCTTAGGGGTGTTGACAGGAGAAACTTGAGGCCAGGCAGGACAGCCATAACTTGTCCCAGTTCCGAGTCAGGAATTGAGCTTTGGCCCTTACTTATTTATGCCTTGGGGGCTCCCACCGTGGGCCAGAGGTCTGTGCCCCACACAGGATGCCCCTTACCTTATTATTATTATTACTTGGTTTCTTTTTAGTTTTTTTTTTTTTTTGAAGACAGGATCTTATTATTATATCATCCTAAGTGACCTGAAACTCACTATGTAGACCAAGATGGCTTCCAACTTGCAGCAATCCTCCTGCCTCTATCTCCCAAACACTGATTTCACAGGTACAAGTCAGAGTGTCTAACTAAACCTCTGCTCTTGCTCCTGTTGGTCCCATGGTTTGAACTGAGAGCACTCATATGCTACACAATCACTCTACCCTGAGCTGCATCCCTGGCCTTTTTGAAATGTAGTTTCACTCAAGTTGCCCAGATTGGCCTAGAATTTAGAATTTCCTGCCTCAGTCTCCCAAGACACTGGGATGACAGGACAACACCAGCACATGTTCCGGCCAGTTATCTCCTCCTTCCTTACTCTGCCCTTCTACCCAGTTTCTTAGCAGAGGTGCTTGGCCTCCCGGATTTTCTCGGCTTCTCCCCTCCCCTGCCATCCATGCCCAGGTGAGATTCTCCCCTCCCCTGCCATCCATGTCCAGGTGAGATTCTCCCCCCCCCCTGCCATCCATGTCCAGGTGAGATTCTCCCCTGCCATCCATGTCCAGGTGAGATTAGCCACCTGCTAGTTTGTCTCCCCATCACACCTTAGGCCCCATTTTAGTCAGTAACCCAGGCTCTGGTAACAGTGCAAATACACTGTCGCCTCTTTTTCTCCCTCTGACACCCTTGGGGACACATGCCTTCCCATGATGCCCACTCCAGGGGCTCCCACCAACTACAAGGGATGGACACCGCTTTATCAGGAGAGTCCAAAACCACCTCTCCTGCACCTTGCACCTTCATTCCCCACATGCCCACTCCTCTCACACTCTGCAGGGCTCACCTTGCAGTTGGGTTTGCAGTCTGTCGCAGTTGGGTGGACATGAGAGAAGAGAGAGAAGAGAGTGAGCAAGTGAAGGCAGCCCCTTTCCCTTGTCTCATCCACGTGCCTGCCCCGCAGCATCTTCCCCCAGCCTTGCCCTCACCATGGTTGATGAAGGCAGCTGGGCCTAGCCACAACTGGGCACTCCTTTTCCGGGTGGAGTACATGATGCTGAAGTCGTTCTCTCCGGCCCTAACCAGGTTCTCATCCTCTTCACGAAGCTCTGCAATGCAGCCTACCAGCAGCTCCAGTTTCTCGTTCTTCTTCCTGCCGAGAGTCCACGCTGTATGGCTTTGAGCAAGGCCTCCCAAGGGGCAGCAAGGGACAGGCGAGCCATTGCATTCTCCATCCTCTCACATCCACCAGGTCCTCATGTCTCACTAGCCCCACCTCCTCTGGGTCCTACCTCATCCACAGGGACTGAGTCTTGGCTCTCAGCAGCTCCCTTACCAAGCACGGGTAGACACGATCTTGGCCCCATTGGTCTCCATGGAGTAGCGGGTGCAGGGCAGAATGGTGAAGCCACTCTCAGGCAAGAAGGCGCGGAGGTAGCAAAAAATCTGAGAGGAGAGTAGGGGAGGGTGGGATAGTGAGGAGGGTCAACCACAAGGGGCCCCTTTCTCTTGGACCAGGTCTACTTTGTCATTGACTGTATGGCCTAGATCCTCTCTGGGTCTAGGTGTCCTCATCTGTTAAAGGAAGAGGAGGTTGGACCCTCAAAGCTCACCAGCCCCCAATTATTTTCTTCTAGGATTCTGAGCCTTGCAGGGTGTCTTCAGGGGCAAGGCAGCTGGGACCTGGGGGCTGCTCTCCTAAGAGCTCCAGAATCTGCCGGCTAAATGGGGAGCACAGTGCAGGTCAGAGCAGGGCATGGGCTCCCTCACGTGGGTCTTGAGGGCAGCCTCCTGCCGAGGGGCCCGGTTCTGGAAGTAGTGGGCCATCCAGCCTCCCACTGTCAGGGCCCGGTATGCAGCCTCCAGGTCCCGCTGTCTTAGGAAAGCTTCCAGTGCTGAGCGAAGGTAGTGCTGTCGTCGCAGAGTGGGCACAGGGCTGGGAGAAAGGATATGCCTGAGTTCCAGGGACTTCCAGAACCCTGACCCCCACCTGAAGCTTCAGGGAGGTCAGGCTGAGAGTTATAAAAAGGTCCAGGCCTGCCATTACCCCCAGGAACCTCTCACCTGACGTTCATCTTATGGGTGCGGAAGCCGAGGTAGGGGTCAAGAACAAGGCTGGTGGCCAGGTCATCGTTCTCGCACAGTTCTCGGGCTGTCACTCTGTCAGGCCCCATGGCGCTCTGAAGATCATGCTGCTTCTGGCACCAGCGGGGCACAGGGATGTGCTCTGTGCCACTCAGAAGCTGTCTGTGGGTCCCACAGCCTGCTTATCTGTAGGAGAGCATGGGGTGGGTGGGGAGCAAAACTAACTTCACAGGCCTCTGTGCAAGAATGACACCCAACAGCTACTTCGGACAGTGAGGAAACCCCAGGAGAAACACTGTCTCTTGTGCATTAAGCACTTCCCTCCTCTCCCCCAGCTCCACACACACAACCTCCTCAGGACACGTGCGCTTTCATGGATGTCAGCACACACACAAACCACCTTGCCAAATGCACACGTAGGAAACAAGTCCCCGTGTGCCCAGGGACGGTAGATTAATTGGCAATCTGAGATAACTTCAAAGCCTTGGCATGGCAGGAGGGAGTTGGGATAGCTGGGCCTCATCAAGGGAGAAGGTGAAAATGAACTCAATGTTTCTTAGCTTCTAGCCTGCCTTTGCTGACCCTCGCTAGGCTGGGTCTGTCCCCCACCACCTCCCTCCAAGGTCACCCTACTCAGGGAGTGGTCAAATGGCTGTGGGTGGGACCCAGGCACCCTGGAGGGGAAAGGAGAGGGGGGAATCAAGTGCTTGCTCCCTGACTGAGAATTCCAGCAAAGGGGAGGCCCTCAAGGGAACAACAGCAGCAACACAGTAAGAAGGAAGGAATGGAAGGGAATGAAGAACAGAAACAAGTCAAAACAAAGGGAAGGAAGTGAGAGCAAAGGGGGGAAAAATTAGAGTCAAAAAACCAAATCAAGCGAAACGGAGGGACAGTTTACCCACTGCCCTCATCATGGTGTCTGGCAGATCTGCACCTTGGGAAAGAGCAATGTGAGGGCAAGAAAGGAGGAAGAGTGGCTGAGACACGAAGGGAAGCTACAAGAACTGGGAGAAAGATCTGGAAAACAAAACAAAACAATAAGTCTGGGTTAAATGAAGAGGGTGCTAAGAAAAAGCCTGGAAGCTGGGGAGGAGCTTATGGGAAAAGACAAATAAAGCCAGGTACAGGGGGTAGGATGTGAAGGAAGAGAAAGGCTGCAAACATGGAGGGAAGTCAAAAGGACGCGGGGGGGGGGGGGGGGGGGGGGGGGGGGGGGGGGGGGGGGGGGGGGGGGGGGGCGGCACCTACGGGTGCAAGGGAGGAGCCCACGAAATCCAAAGGGTAGGTAGACTTAGGGTCTAAGGTAGGGCCTAGCGGTCCCAAGTGGGGTTTGAGGGGAAGTCCTGGGGATCTGAAGTGACGAGAACATAAGAGGCACTAGGGGTTCGAGGAGGGAACTGAGGAAGCGCAGTAAAGCCTGGGAAGGTTGTAGAAGGGGGTGGGGAAGCAGTAAGAGTAGAGGCGAGGGCCTCAGAGGCCACGGCAGTGAGACAGGAGTCAGGAAGTGCCCTGAGAGTGACACGGGAGGTTACGGTGCAGGGAAAAGGTGTCAGGGACAGGCCCTGGTGGTGCAGAGAGCCGCCCCTAAAGGGCAAGGAAAGACCTGCGAGTGAGAGAGGAGTCTGCATGGGCTGCGAGGGTGCAGGGAAGGCTACGAGTGAGGAGCGCGAGGACCCGCGGGGCTGGAGACTTGGGCGGCAAGGCTCGAGGACGAGCCCGGGGACAGCCGGGTCAGGGGGTGACTGGGAGGCCGGGCGACGCGGGGCGGGGGCCGAGAGGGGGCTCAGAGGTCGGGCGCCGCGCCGCCCCTCACCCGCTTCTCCTCCTCCTCCTCCTCCTCCTCCTCAGGCGCCCGCGCTGCCGCCGCCACCACCTCCCACCGCCTGGTCCGGCTCTCGTCAGACACTGCCGCCGCGCCGCCCCCTCGGCCGAGTTGACGGCCGGCGCATCCTTCTATTGGCCCAGTTCGCCGTCACTCCTCCGTTGCTATGAAACCCGCGTGGCTCTTATTGGCTGGCTCTCATTTCTCCCTTTTTTCCCGCCTCTTCTGGCCCCAGCCCGTGCCCCGACAAAACCCCGCCACGCCCGCGCTGTCAATAAACCTCGCGGACTACAACTAATGGCTCGCGTCACTGTCCTTCAGCTGTTACCATAGCGATATGTCCCGCCCCCTCCTCCTCCTGCACGGTCCCAAATCAATGCTTTCATTGGCTTAAAGCGCCGTCGCTCCGAGCGAAACTCTGTCTGGGTCAGGTTATTCAGGTCCAAGTAGAAGGAGGGCGGGATCTGCCAGATCCAAACTTCGTATATTATTGGTTGATTATGGGAAAGCCTATGCTTCCATTAGCTAAGGCCTCCGTCCATCACCGTAGAGTCCCGAGCGCTATTCTCTTTCTTTCAGCTTCAGGGGGGCAAAATCTCATAGCTAACTAGGAAGGAAAGAGGTGACTGCGCGCGCGCCACCACTGCCCTCGGCCCCGGGAGACCATTGGTTGCCATGGCAACAAAACTTCATTGCCAGCCCTGCTTGACAAGAAGGCTTTCTCTCTCTCTCTCTCTCTCTCTCTCTCTCTCTCTCTCTCTCTCTCTCTTTCTCCCTCTATCTCCCCCCTCTCTCTCTCTCTCTCTCTCTCTCTCTCTCTCTCTCTCTCTCTCTCTCTCTCTCTCTCTCTCTCTCTCTCTCTCTCTCTCTCTCCTCTCTCTCTCTCTCTCCCTCCCTTATCGTTTTGGAAATTGTACCTATATAAGCACTCTGTAAAGTTTCCTTGCCCTACCTAAGAACAGATCGGAAAGAAGGGACGCTGAGAAGTTGAGATTTTGGAGACAAGCTCTGACTCATGGGGCGCTCCCGTGGGGAAATCCCTGTAATTAGGATCACCCACCTCTTCAATCCTGCAAATATAATTAGCGTATTATAATTACGTCCAAACAAATAAGTTCCATGCGTGCAGCAGGCAGTCTTTGTTCTCCATGAGTTATCTCTTTGGTGGGTTAGAACAACGCCTATGGCACAGAACGATTCATTAATGCAGGCTGAAGGAACAACCGACCGAAGTGAGGCTGGGACCGTGAGATGGCTCAGCGGGTAAAGGCCCCCAGTCCTGACAGCCAGGATCCATGGAAAGAAAGCAGAGACTCCCACAGGTTGTCCTCTGACCTCCATGTGCATGTCGGGGCCTGTGCATCCTCACACATGCACATACACACAAAATAAACTAATTAAGATATAGTACTTCTTGTTAGAGACAGTATGGAGCTCTGGTTGTCCTGGAACTCACTGTGTAGACCAGGCTGGCCTTGACCTTCCAGAGATCCTCCTGCTTCTGCTCCAAAGTGTAGGAGTTAAAGGTGTGTACCACTCTGCCCAGCAGGACTTTTGTTTTTTAATGAGGCTGAAGGCTTTGCCCTATTCTGATTCTGTGACCTTGAGGAAGTGCTTTGATCCCTCTCAGCTTCACGGTTCCTTCTACAAAACGAACAGTACCATGCTGGGACACTTCCAAGCTTCTGAGGGGTTTGAAGATACTTCCTAACTTAACCACCTCTCCTTGGGTGCCATCATATCGACCAAATCTAGTACTGACAGAGGGGATCAGGCCAGAAGATTGCCCTGTAGCAGTCCCTAACAGGGTGACCCCTGCTGTGACTTCCCTGGTTATGAGCTTAGGAGAGATGGACAGTAAGAGCCAGGTATGGTGGTATATCTATATCACTGCAATGGTAACTTTGGTGCTTTGAATAGAAATGGTCCCCTTAGACTCGCGTTTGAATGCTTGGCCCACAGATAGTGACACTATGAGGAGGTGTGGCCTTGTTGGAGTAGGCGTGGCCTTCTTGGAGAAAGTCCATCACTGTAGGGGCGGGCTCTGAGGTTTCATATATGCTCAAGCTACAAACAACACACAGTTTCTCCTTCTGCTGCTTGAGGATCAAGATATAGAACTCTCATCTCCTTCTTCAGCGTCCTATCTGCCTGCACACTGTCATGTCTTCCCATGATGATAAACCTCTGAAACTGTAAGCCAGCCCCAATTAAATGTTTTCCTTTATAAGAGTTACCGTGGTCATGGTGTCTCTTCACAACGCTAGAAATCCAAACTAAGACTGTAACACGTGAAAGCGGGTAGATCAGGAGTTCAAGGTTATACTTGACAACACAGTGAGGCTGGGAGACCCTTTGGTTAAAACACATTAAAAACAAATGGACAACTAGGAGAGAAGCAAAGAAGGGCAGCTGCATTCGGAACTCTTTTTGTTTGCTTATGTTTTGTTTTTCGAGACAGTATTTCTCTGTATAACAGTCCTCATTGTCCTGGAACTTGCTTTATAGGCTAGGCTGACCTCGAACTCACTAAGATCCACTTGCCTCTGCCATTATTGCCTGGCTGCATTTAGAACTCTTAAAAATGTGTAATTTGACGGGCAGTGGTGACCGTGCCTTTAATCCCAGCACTGGAGAGTCAGAGTTGGAGGCCAGCGTGGGCTACTGGCTCCAAAGCTACACAGAGAAACCCTGTCTTGAAAAACAAAACAAAATAACAACAAAAGTGTAACTTGCCAGAGGTGGAGGTGCTCACCCTTAATCCCAGTGCTCAGGAGTCAGAGGCAAGCCGGGCAATCCCAGCACTAGGGAGGCAGAGTCAGGCGGATCTCTGTGAGTTCGAGGCCAGCCTGGTCTACAAGAGCTAGTTCCAGGACAGGCTCTAAAGTGACAGAGAAACCCTGTCTCGAAAATTAAAAAAAAAAAAAAAAAAAAGGAGTCAGAGGCAGATGAATCTCTGAGTTTGAGGCCAGCCTGCCTGATCTACAGAATATGTTCTTTTTTTTTTTTTTTTTTTTTAAGACAGGGTTTCTCTGTCACTTTAGAGCCTGTCCTGGAACTAGCTCTTGTAGACCAGGCTGGCTTCAAACTCACAGAGATCCGCCTGCCTCTGCCTCCCGAGTGCTGGGATTAAAGGCGTGCGCCACCACCACTTGGCCAGAATAAGTTCTGCATACAACCAGGACTACACAGATAAAACTTGTCTCAGAAAAAACAAAGACAAAACAACAAAAACAGTGGGGCTCTTCAAAGTACAGCTCTCACGTCGGTATCAATACCCTAGAGAAATGGTCACGTGCTCCAAAGATATGAATGGGAGAATACTTGCTACAACAACCGAAAACCTGAATTGTCCCCCAATGTCTATCACTTGAAGAGCAGACGGATGGGCTGTCGTACACTCCCACCAAACAGTGGAAACAGGTGAGTGAAGGAGCATTTATCCACATGAAGACCTACCTATAGCACAACCTGTCCCGAGATCTATGTAGTTCAATGCCACTCACAAATGTTCCTGTTATGCCCAAATCCACGAAGTCGCCCAAAAGCCAACAAGGAGACCGAGTCCCGTATGTAAAAGCAAAGAGCTTTTATGCAAATTTGCAAACTCGGTATCTCTGCACGTCCAACGTATTGGAATAAATGGAGAGCCCCGATCTCAGTTAGAGTTGGGTTTTTAATAGTAAAGGTGGGGGTGAGGGGTTTGTGAGGTTCAAGACTCTTGATTGGCTGACATTTGTCTAGGGGTGTCCTGGTGAGTGTGTGTGCTGGCAGGTGATCCTATCTAAAACGGTTGGAATGTTAGGCATTTCCTTTGGATGGTCTGTTCTTGGGTGGTGCTCAGGTAATCTCAGTTTGTGGTTCTTCCTGCAACCAGGTAAACGTCAGGGTAAACTACTAAGACTTATCAATGGCTGAGTCCTTCTCTGGCAGGTGGCAATGGTTGGAAGTAGAGAACTTCCTTTGGGTGATCTGTTCATATTTAGCTTATCCTGGCTGGCTCCTACAATTCCAAACTCATGAAACAATTCTGAGGCTGAGCATTCACACTGCAAGAATGAAGACCACAGATAGAACCTGTGTCCATATGGGCAAATCCCAGGGCTCAGGAAGTGAAGACGGGATTTCCAAGCAAGCTGGCTAGCTAGTCTTCAAATCCACAAGCTCCAGGCTCAAGTGGAAACCCTTGCCTTGATAAACAAGGTGGAGAGGACTAGATCACAGCTCTTCAGATCAGGGCGTTTTACTGTCCCTGGAGATCTAATTTTTTTTTTTTTTCGAGACAGGGTTTCTCTGTAGCTTTGGAGCCTGTCCTGAAACTCCCTTTGTAGACCAGGCTGGCCTCGAACTCACAGAGATCCTCCTGCCTCTGTCTCCCAAGTGCTGGGATTAAAGGCGTGTGCCACCACCGCCTGGCTGGAGATCTAATTTTTGACAAAGGTGTTGTAAGCTTACATTGGAGAAAAGACAGCATCTCCAATAAATTGTGTTGGGAAAGACTTGATTTACACAAGTAAACGAATGAAATTAGATCCAGGGAGGGAGAAATGGTTTCATGGTAAAGGTGCTTCTTTCAAGCCTGAGGACCTAGTTGGATCCCTCAGACTCACAGGATGGAAGGAGAGAACCCAGTCCTGAAAACTGTCCTGTCATTTCCACACATATTCCCTCCCCACCTAAATAAATAAATGTAATAAAAGTGTATTTAAAAAAAAGAAAGGTCATGCGTGGTGACTTACAGAATCCCAGAACACTTGGTGTTAAGACAGGAAATTACCTTCAGTTCAAGGCCAGCCTGGGCTACTTGATTGTGAAGCCAGTCTATGCTACTACACGTGGTTTTGTCTCAGAAAAACAAACAGATAAACAGTCAAAAAAAGCCACATATAGTGGCTCATAACAGTAACCCTGGGTGCTAAAGCGGAAGGATTGTGGTCCTTCAGTCTGAGACCAGCTTGGGTCACATAGCAAATGTAAGGCCAGTCCTGGCTACATGAGACCCTCTCTCAAATATATTCACGCATACAATATCAGATAGCAGACTAAGGATATACCTCAATGGTAGAAGCTA